TATTGCTTCATCGAAACTTCGTTCCCCTGCAACATTCACTTCTTTGTAGCATGATCCAACGTACTCAAAGTATTTCTTCACCCCCTATTGCTTTATCCAAATGACATTTAATTCACTTCTGGCATTAACCAAATTTTACTTCATGCCCTTGTGCATCTTTCAAAAATTACTCTTCACTCCCATCTGATATAATTCAAATTACACTTCACCACCACCAGCCTCCATGGTATAATCAAAATTAACCTTCACTCTCCATGACACCATCGAAATTACGTTTTACTCACCTTTGACATTGTACAAATTACGCTTCTCTCCTATACAGCGTTATCCAAATGCCACTTCACGTGCCTATGACATTACTCAAATTATGTTTCAAGCCACTATGGCATCACCCAAATTACAAATAACTTCTTTAAGACAGCGTCCAAATTATATTTCAGTCACCTATCACATCATCCAAATTTATCTTCACTTCCCTATGGCATCAACCAATTTACTTTTCACACGATTATTAGACTCACGGCACAAACTCGGCCTCCATAGTAAACCTATGATCGTGATAATGAAAATTTCAAAACATAAAATTTCTTGATGATCAAACCCATCAGGTACTAATTTAAGTTATGAGTTTTCCACACTCATGCCTGTGGAAGGACTAAAATGTTCATTAATAAAATATTATCTATTTTTATTCTTCAGTCACAACAGTTTTCAGTCTGATCAGATCCTCTTAGCTAAACTTTACCTTCATCATCAACAAATCATATACAGTCAAACAGATATATATTTTATTTAATCTTCACCCTTCTAGATTGGCTTCTCATATAATTAATAATGTGGATCATCTACCATCGTATAATTTCCCCTTAAATCCCCTATATAATTTATATAATTGTCTAAGTTATCACCCCATGGCATCATCCACATTACTTTTTTCAGTCCAATGGCATCATATAATAGTACACTTCACTCCCGTATGAAATCATCCAAATTATACTTCACTCCACTATGGCATCCAAATTATACTTCACTCCACTATGGCATCCAAATTACCATTCACTCTACTATGGCATCCAAATTACTCTTCACTCCACTATGGTATCCAAATTACTCTTTACTCCACTATGGTATCCAAATTGTTCTTCACTCCACTATGGTATCCCAATTACTCTTCACTTCACTAAGGTATCCAAATTGCTCTTCACTCCACTATGGCATCCAAATTACTCTTCACTCCACTATGGCATCCAAATTACTCTTCACTCCACTATGCTATCCAAATTACTCTTCCCTCCACTTTGATATCCAAATTACTTTTCACTCCACTATGCTATCCAAATTACTCTTCCCTCCACTTTGATATCCAAATTACTCTTCACTCCACTATGGTATCCAAATTACTCTTCACTCCACTATGGCGTCCAAATTGTTCTTCACTCCACTAAGGTATCCAAATTACTTTTCACTCCACTATGATATTCAAATTACTATTCACTCCACTATGGCATCCAAATTGCTCTTCACTCCATTATGTCATCCAAATTACTCTTCACTCCACTATGGCATCCGAATTACTCTTCACTCCACTATGGCATCCAAATTACTCTTCACTCCACTATGGTATCCAAATTACTCCTCACTCCACTATGGCATCCAAATTACTCTTCTCTCCACTATGGCATCCAAATTACTCTTCACTCCACTATGGCATCCAAATTACTCTTCACTCCACTATGGCATCCAAAGTACTCTTCACTCCAGTATGGCATCCAAATTACTTTTCACTCCACTACGGCATCCAAATTTACTCTTCACTCCACTATGGCATCCAAATTGCTCTTCACTCCAGTATGGCATCCGAATTACTCTTCACTCCACTATGGCATCCAAATTACTCTTCACTCCACTATGGCATCCAAATTTACTTTTCACTCCACTATGGCATCCAAATTACTCTTCACTCCACTATGGCATCAAAAAACATTAATCTAAAATTTCCCATGACATAATTCAAATTAAATTTCAGTGCCTATTGGCACTATCTATATTAGACATCACTCCCTTTTGGCATCATCTGAAAAACTCATCTAATGTATCGTCCAATATTCATTTCAATCCTCTATGGCGGCATTCAAATTTCATTTGCTTCCCCTAAGGCATCACCAGAATTATTACTCACTCCCTAAATTACACTTCACTCCTTTATGAGATCATCCAAACTTTTTCAATGATTCTCTCGCATTTCGATTTCGATCATATACAGATTTCATATTTCCCTTTACTTCGTTCATTCATACTTCACACACATAGATGTAGCTTGCCTCTAATATTCCAATGGTTTCATTCACTGCTGCTGTCATCTACAACAATGGGGCTAATGATTCTCGATGAACAATTACCGAGGTGGTATTACTAATGCTAGCCAAAATAGGTGTATAGCTATAATTCATTACTTCTGTGTATATTTCATTTAAAATGATAATTAATAAAGGACCGCTTGTCCATTTTTCAAATATAGAATAGATATATGTCATCCACTGTGATTAATTAGGCAATTACTTACATTTCAGACCCTCTACGCGATTCACTGATTTGGAATCTCAGCTCTTCTCTCCATATTATATTTATCTAGTTATCGCACATACTGTAGATTAAGTAATTTAATCCACTATTAATGGATGGAAGTAACTGCATCTTTTGTCTTTCATTGATGATGGGATATAAGATATGAACTAGTTCGGTCCCTTTAATCCATGGGCGGACGTCAGATTCCACCAAGATTTCCATTCTCGACTTTAGCACACAAGAACATCGTGTGTCTGGTGAACAATCCAAACAATTTTTTCAATTAGCCAATGAAATCTCAGCCAACTGTTATCTAGTTATTTCAGTCGGGTATTATGTATCAGGTTCAGTGCAGGCAATGCACGAGAGACGTTTTAAGCACGCAAACCCACCCATACCGATCTCTCATATTATTTCTTTGTGTACCTATAATAATAAAATTCTCTAAAGCTTTTTGCGTTTCATTAACTCTTTCTTGAAACAAAAAGCACAATCTTTCTCTTACATATTGTAGCTGAAAATGCAAATTTAACACATCAGATTTTCTAGCGATTGAAAAATAGAATAATTCAAAATAGCGGCCTTAATTGTACTGCATGGATCTGAAGGACTAATAGAAATATTTACACAAAACTGTTTGAATTAGACTGGAAATGTATGGATGAATATAAATTAGAGATATACGGATCATTAATCGATATCAAGAACAAAATTAGGTAAATTTGTTTTCTAATATGATTCTCTTCTAATATAAAATGAGATGTCTGTTAATTTACTAGTCTAGTTAAAGGACCTAAATAATGAATATATATATAATATATTCCTCAAACAAGGGATATATATGATAAGTTTTAAACACGTCTAGATTTAAGCATGTTCTTTCTCTTCACATGTCTTTAAAAAAAAACACCAATGAATTACACATCAACGATTGTACTATGTTGTGAGGTATAACTTTGGCCCTGAATATTTAGAAAGACACTGCATTTTTGAAAGTTTGGTGCTACAATAGGGTTATTACAGGAATTTTATTCAAATCGTGTGCCCTGAATCCGTTTAGTCACATAGTTCAGTTGCTGCGGCAATGTTAGCTTTCCAAATGTATTGAACTCAGTCACAAAAAAAATCTGCGTGTGTTAAAGTTCCAAATGTATTGAACTCAGTCACAGAGAATTCAGCGGTTGTTAGAGTTCTGAATGTATTAAACTGTCACAAACAATTATTCGGTCGTTAGAGTTCCGAATGTATTGAAATCAGTCACAAAGAAAAAGTCATGACTATGGGACTGGTGACGTAAAGAAATGATGGAGAGCGAGAATAAATACACCATATAAAAGACACATAACAGGAATTTTATTTATGATATAAACCTCATCAAACGCGGTCTTGTGCAAGAATATAAATTGTTTAGTGATTCTATTTCAAATCACAAATAACACTATTCCAAAGCAAAATCAACTGTGTAGGTTTCTTTTTCTTTCATGCAGACCCTGGTCACAATTATTATTTCTAGGTCAGTATCCACAACTGTAGTACCAGTCTAATTCAATAGAATTTGTCCCTTTTCTCATTTAGTTGATGATACTTTTTTTTAGACTGGTGCTGATTTAAAGGAAATTGTCTATTCTTTAAAATATAAGCATCGCGTATAATTATCAGTATATATTTTGGCGACAGTGCACAGTGAGTAATGAGACATTGTTGTTAGTCCGGAAGTGAAATCTCCGACATACTGCACGTGGATTTGTCTACTGTCCAGCCTCCCAAAAGTTTCAAAATAACCTGTAATGAAGCACTTAACCGTGAGTGTATATTTGAAGATACATTCGATTAACACAATTAATTAGGATTTGTATACATACGTCATCCAGAATTGTATCTACTACATAAACCTTTAACTGATGAGAAAGTTGAACAACGAATCCGTGGACTCAAATATGGGATTGCTTGCGATCCAGATGGGACAGGAATTCTCTTTTCCAAGTGTACTATATTATTTCAACGTCATTGTTAGCAGAGGATTTAAAAAACTTTTTCAATACTGATTCATGGGGAGAAGGCATTACATTGCCATTACATAATAAGGGTCCTTGAGACTATCCTAACAACTTAGAGGCGTATAGTGACTACTACTGTATCAAAGCCAAAGTCTGTCTATAACTCAAAGTGTGCATAATACCTAATAGATATGCGCAAAAATGAAACGAAGGTCAAATTTCAAGTGAATAATGACTTTGCGTTTATGTGTATGTGCGTTATCTTTTAATCGGGGTTGTCTAAAACCCGTTTACCACTGCACCCCGTCCGGTCGTGAACAACAGTATGAATGTCAGAGAGGAAGATGTAGGAAACGGTGTGAGATAGAAATAAACATATAAGATAGAAATAAACATATAAATGTAAAGAGAGCAACGTGTAGCTTTCATTTAACTTGAGACCGCTCCAGGAGCCTAGTGGTTAGAGCGTTCGCCTCGGATGTGGGAGGTCGTGGGTTCGATCCCCAGTTGAGTCATACCAAAGACTTATAAAAATGGTACCAACAGCTGCCTCGCTTGATGCTTATCATTAAGAGGTTAGTGTTAGGACTGGTCGGCCTTCTGTCATGATAATATGACTGGGTGGGACATCATGCTTCCTGTCTGCGGCATGATGCCCCAGTGCTAGACATCACTATAAACTGCAACACTGCAGATATCGTAGCGATATGGCTGAATTTGTTTTAAAGCTACGTTAAAAATCCAAATCACACACACTCACACACACACACACACACACACACACACACACACGACTTGATATAAGCTAATACTTGAAATGTAAAGTATACACTGACCTTCTGAATCAAAGATGTAAACATACTTGTGTTTATCTGAACAGGATCCAGGCTGCTCATTAGTAATGCCACAACGGAAACTATCAATCAAGACTGGTTGACTGTATTATCGTAGACAAGAATAACATTGGCGGTATATTAATGTCGAAAGACAGGACACTGGGACTGCAAACCCTCAATGAAACTGGGACTGCAAACCCTAAATGAAACTGCTACTGCAAACCCGAAATGAAACTGAGACTATAATCTTTAAACAAATATTAGACTGCAATCCATAAGTTAAACTGGGACTACAATCCCAAATGTAACTTTGACAGCAATTCCTATATGAATCTCCTAATACAATCCCTACATAAAATCGGAAGTACGATCCCTAATGAATATGGTTATGCAATCCCTCAATGTATCTGGAACTACAATACCTAACTGAAACCGGGAGTACAATCCCTAAATGAAACTGGAACTGCAATCATTAATTGAAACCGTGACAGCAGTCCCTAAATGAAACTGGGACTTCAATCATTAATTGAAACCGTGACAGCAGTCCCTAAATGAAACTGGGACTTCAATCATTAATTGAAACCGTGACAGCAGTCCCTAAATGAAACTGCGTGAAACAAGAGTCATTAATATTTTCATATTAGAGATAAAAAGTAAAGATTTTTCTCATCTTTCATGTTTATAATTTGTACAAATTTGAATGTCTGTGCTAAAAATGATTGAGGTTTGCACCAATTGCCCCTTTTAGTGAATTTAAACTCAAATATTTGTTTATCACATTCTTGTGTTCCTAGTACATCCTTTGCTGCATCCTAGCTCTTATTGACAAGGCATTTTAAGTAATTGTTGAATTTGGTAGAACAATGCAAGTATAATGAATTAGTGATTTGGTGTAATGCCGAAAAAGCGCGAACAAAACATTCTGCAGAATCTAGTTTACCCCCGATTCAGATGATACATAATCCAGACACTTAGTGTACTGTAGCCACATTAGTAAGAAAACAGATTATCGAATAAATGCAGCTTCACACTTTGGATTGTAATTGGAGGTGATCTTTTACTATTCACATCGCTTTTAGAATTTTGTTTTATTCTAGGGAAAGAGCAGGGGTTAGGGATTATAGGAAGCTTAGAAGTATGGTTTATACCTTGATATATATATATATATATATATATATATATATATATATATATATATATATATATATATATATATATATATATATATATATATATATATATATATATATATATATATATATATACACACACACACACACACACAAGGAAAAGAAGTATACTGTAAGCAATCAACAACAGAAAAATGCAAGGATACATTCTTCTACAGACGTACTTCTAGCTTTTGCTGTACTTACGCTGTCTAAATTGTATTTATTTAATGGGGAATGTTTACGGCATTTATTAATTAATTTAGTGCCGTCTTTGAAGCTAATGCTGCTTTTAGCAAGTATGTAGATGACTATAAGTTTCTAAATGATAAACTCTGAAATCAACGACTGAGAAATCGCAACAGGACATAAAACGTATTCATTTATACATACATAATATCGACATGAATCCTGAGTATAGGGGTATTATTGGGGGTGGGGAGTGGGGGTGGGAAGTGGCTGGGGTGGGGGTGGGGATGGGTTTGGTTGGAGAAGAGGTGGGTTGGATGGGTGGTTTTTTTAGGAAGCTTTGAAAATACATAACTTATAACGTTAGACCCTTTTGGGTCCTTTAGGGTGCTACATAGGAACAGAAAGTGATGTGTTAGCAAAGGTCAAACGTTTGGGGTTGGGATAATGGAAGAAGGGTTATATCATCAACATATAATCGAGAACAATTTGACAATGTTAAATAAATAAATAAATAAATAAATAAATAAATAAATAAATAAATAAATAAGTGTTATATTTTTTGTGCACAACCATATTATGTAGTTCTATTACAAAAAAAACTGGATGGGGGGAAAGCTGTTAGGAGTGGTGGGAGACAACTGGTACAATCTACTTTTGATGGAATAAATCTATTATTCTAGCTTATTTGATATTGTAATGGGCTACTTTTAAAGATAAAATGTACGAACTCGTAACTTTTCTCTGTCACTTTGAATTTTGGCGACGACTGTACTTGTCAGTTGTCTGATCAACAATGACAGCACTCCCCTATTTATAACCTTTTCCAGACACCACGTGAAACAATTCAACCAATCGCTGCATGCACGGCAACCCATGTCACCAATCAGTGTCTTGAATGATGTATCATGTGTTTAATTGTAAATAATACAATTTTGTATGGTATACAATGTCAAGATTACAAATACATAAATTGTTTTATAAGTATTTTAATACTGTTGGGCTTGTCTATGAAACGAATAAGAACATTTAATGAGCTTCAGTATATGTGAAAGTAGACTTTGTGATGATAAATGAAGTCTTGAATAATTGAATCGATTCATGTAGACGAGGGTACTGCACTTGATGCAGACGACCGCTGTTGTCACATCCAAACATGAATTGCATACATCGATAAAATGGTATTGCTATGATGTTATCGATAAAACATGCGAATTACTTTTCTTTCGGTTCACCAATGTTTTTAGAGAGAACAACTGCAAATGCGAAAGTATATCTCAAAAATATGAAACTCTCATGCTGATCTAAAATGGCGAACATCGTGATACAAGGATGTACACGTACTTTTCTCGTCATGATTTTGTAGGTATTTTGCATAAATTACGAATAGTAATATCATAAGAGCATATATATGTAGCAGACTTTCAAAGATGTTTTACTGAAAGAAACTCTACCTCGAAAATAGGTTACACTTGTTGAGATCATTTGTCAGGATTGGCTGCTAGTTTAATAGTCCATGAATATTAAAGATAAATATAATTGCTATGCTTTCTAAGTGAACATTATCATTCACATTCATATTCATATGTACCATATCTATAAAAACAAACGTAATAGAACCAAAGACTTAAAGTAGTATCCTAGTCATTGTAACTCTAGCTATGGTCATTACACTAATGTTAATCGTATGATATAAGATTGAGAGATTTGCCGTTGTCACAGATTTTGAAAAAAGACCTACTTACATAAAAAAAAAATTGTAAGGTTCGTGTCATTTTCTCTCTGTTGAGTAAAATGATTTGTAAAGTATCGACTCCACTCATTCTGAATTATTTTCTATTCCACCAACTCCTTCATATTTGAATTCACCACAGAGAATAAAAACTGCAGGAGAGTATCTTTACTAATGTAATAAACCAACCCACATCGGCAGGAGTTAATCTTTAATTTAGTTTGTCCTGCGTACAGTCACCAGATGAAATAAAGACGGTAATTTATAGCCAGTGTTCTGCTTTCTATCATTGAATGCGTGACAAGCAACACATAAATATTTTGAACAAAATGTCGTGGGTAACTTCATACCGATGATTCCGACAAAGATAGTATATTTCAAGACGCTGGGCTTGCACATTTTTCAAACAAAATCTTCATAAGTATACGTGTTACTTGTTTTGGGGTCAAAATATTGTATGGCCACAATGCATTAATATTAATATAGCTTAATATACAGAATTTAATGTGTTTGTGATATTGCGAGAATAGTAAATTCCCGTGAGAAGTATCTTCGTGCGAATGAGACTGTTGTAACCCAGAATTGTTTTGTTACCCAACCTCTGCGCTTTATTTAGTCTTGTATATCTGTGTCTGTCTGTCTGTCTGTCTGTCTTTGTGTCTGCCTGTATATCAGTATCTGCATGTAAGATGAAGCGTATATTACCATCCAAATCAGGTTAATTCCCAGAAAAAAATAGTCACTGTAAATCTCCATGACTGAAAGCAATTTTCAAATGTAAACATGCGATTATTTTAGTTCCCGCACAATGCATTGCTTTTTGAGAGACACGCGGATATACGTACAATTGATAATATAGTATGTAAGCGAGTAAGTTAGTTAACTAAAAAGGTACATAGAACGATAGATAGAACGACAGAACGATAGACAGATCGATATATCGATAGATAACCAGGTAGATTATTTAGAAACTGTAAAATAACGAATGAAATGTCTAACATTTGTACATTTTTATATCCTTGATTTTTTTTGTTTTTAAATTCTCAAGGGAAAATTGGTGGGTGGGTGGTAAGGCGAAAATTACAGTACACGCAAATCTTCTTATCACCTATTCGCATTAAGACGAGAGGAATCAGTGACTACTCATAAAATTTGTCGGTTGAAATCACTCCCTGTGGATTTTGATTTCCATAAAATTAATTTACGACATTTTGCACACATAAAAATAAATCAACGAGTCTTTTCTTTCAATGCTAAGTATAATTTTATAAAGTCGCATATTTAAGTCTATACCTACGCATACATGTATCTTTATAATAATTAATGTCGTCAACTATTGTGTAGGTGTCTTTCGGTGTCGGTTTGCTTGGGAAGGCAATTTTAAGTGTATATGCAACCAACTGTGTGATGCTTTCTTCTTATTCTTTTGTTGAAGGCACGGTGATTGCGTGTTTTGTAGAATACATACATACATACATACATACATACATACATACATACATACATACATACATACATACATACATACATACATACATACATACATACATACATACATACATACATACATACATACATACATACATACA